CGTACCAGAAAGCCAGGCGCCTGTGTAAGGCTTCAGAGCACCTGCCACTCCCACTGTCCTTTCTGTTAAGAGTCTGTGAGATCACACACATCGGCTACCACGGATAGAGGATTGCCTCACCACAGTGAAAACTGACCAGCCCTTCATAGGCTCTTCTGCCATATGAGGAGATCTGGCCCCAAGTTAATGCCTTAGAAGTCCTTGTCTTCTCTTAGATAAGAAGCAACAAGTCTTAAATGGCAGCAGGAGAGAAAGTAGCCGAGTTAGCAGGACGGTGGTGGTGTTAGCCGTTTCACGGCTGCATGCTCCTCCTGTTCTAGCATGTGTGCCCCTTTGCGATGGGACTTCTCCACTTCTCCAGGGGTCAGTGACATCTGTTTCTCCAAACCCTTGAGTCTAGACCAGCCTCTGACCAACAACCTGTGGTGGAAGTGATGTTATTTGAGCTCTGAATCCTAGGCCTCATGGGCCTTGCAACATCTGTTTTACCTTCTTGAAATGCTGCCCTGACAACCTTAAACTATTTGTGTGTTGATTGGGCAGTTCTTCTGGGGTTGAAGTCAGCGTGGAAACAGGCGAAGCCACCCCAGTTGTCCCAGCCAGATCCGTTCCATCCAGCCTGCATGAGTGAGTCCAGACGAGAGAAGCAGAACTGCCCAATCAACACACAAAATCATAAGAAATAACATGGCAACTGTTTAAAACTAAGTGTGGGATGCTTTATTACTCTGTGACCGCCATGTCAGCTGATCTGGCCTAAAGGAGAGGAAGGGTCACACCGAGGAGGATCGAAGGACCCCGGCTGATCGCCAGTGCCAGTCGTGAGCCATCTCAGTGGGGTCCCCTTGGGCCCCCCAGCCTTCAACAGACCACAGCAACGTGACCACACTCAGGCAAAAGCCGCAGCGACTGCCCCATCAGTCCACAGAATCTTGAGAAATAATAAATCTTGACTCCTCTCTATTCTCGAACCCCCATATTTACCCACTGGCAAACCCTGCCAGCTTCACCTTGCTGAGCACATGCTGACTCTGATCGCTCATCAGCTCCATCGCTCACACCGACTGGTCCAGGCTGCCATCAGCACTTGCACGGACTGTAAACTGGCCTCCTAACAGGCCTTTTCGGAAAGACTAAAAACTAACGTGTATCTGGACTGGCGTTGGATACACGACTTCGTACATTTGTAAAAATCGCTGAGATGTACAGTTTTAAAAGGTGGATTTTACTCTAAGGTATAAATCAACACTCTTGACTAGTTAAAAAAATAACCACCCACGCTTGCAGGTCACACAAGGTACAACGAATCCACGTTAAACCAATTGCATTTTTTCTAGGACAAGTGCAAACAAAAGTTCAGTGTGAAACAAAGAAAAGAAACCAGCTGTGGAAACATCAGCATTTACTCTAAAACAAACAAATGGATGTGCAAGTCACACTATTTTTGAGAAGCTTATAGAACTGACTATAATTATAATAAATGTATTCAGGGAGAAAACTTAATGAGCTATTATAGGCAAAAATGTCTTTATGGAAGGGTCCTGGATAGCATAGAAAGCAATTCAAGAAATTATCATCAGCAGCAGGTGCTTACTCTTTTTTATTTAATTATATTTATTGACTGTGCTATTACAGTTGTCACAAATCTGTCCTCTTTGCCCCCCTCCACTCAGCACCCCCACTCCCTCAGGCAATCCCCACACCATTGTTCATGTCCATGGTCAAGTATAATTTCTCCAGCTACTCCATGTCCTGTACCGTACTTTACATCCCCGTGGCTGTTCTGTAACTACCTAGTTGTGCTTCTTAATCTCCTCACCTCCTCCCCCATTTCCCCACACCCCTCCTGCGGGCCAATGTCAGCTCAGGTGGTACAGGCCAAGGTCAGCCCCCATTTGTGTTTTGCCCAGGGCCACCCTGCCAGAGCCATAAAGCAATCTGAGGTGGCTGCTACTTGTGCTGGGCTGGGAGATTCCCAGATGCAGCCAAGCTGTGAATCCAGGGTGGCTGCTACTGGTGCCAGGCCCGGGGCCACTTAGTGAGAGGAGTAGCACCTGGGGGCTCACTGAGGCCAGTCGTTGCTTGTTTGAGAGTTTTTAGGAAGCTGTGGAGCAGGAGCCAAGACCAATTCATATGGAAAAGTCCCTGTTAACAGCTTGGGTGGGCCTGTAAATGGGGTGTGATGGAGTCTCAGGGAATCCCCAGGGTGGGGCAAAGTGTTTGCCAGATTGATGGAGTCTCATAGATGCCACCACCTGCCAACTCTGTGACTATGTTGGGGGAGGGGTTAGAAAAGGAACAATGGCCTTTCCTTCCCAGAGAAAAGTTCTCCTTTCCCTGCCATTCCCTCTCAGAGAAAGTTCTCCCCTAGCTTTTGCCTCGATGCCACAGACTTCAGTTCCTCCCTGTATATACACCATGGTGCCTTTCAAGCTGCTTCCCCAGTGCCGGAGCTCAGAGGGAATAAGTCTGAGTAGGTCCATGTGTAGGTTCTTTAAGAGGAACTGCTTGGGACTCCAGGAGTTTCTTCAACCAACTCAATCCCCACTGGTTTTTGGAGCCAGAAGTTATGGGGACTTATCTACCTAGCACTGGAACCCTGGGCTGGAGGGCCTGTGCAGGGCTAGGATTCCTGGCTCCCGAGATGTCCCTCCTGAATTTTTATCCACATGTGTATGTGGGACCAGCCCGTTCTGTGTCTGCACCCCTCCTACCAGTCTGGATGGATGGTTTTTTTTTTAATTCCATAGTTGTCAGACTTCCATTCAACTTGATTTCTGATGGCTCTGAGTGATGGTTGTTCTATAGCTTCGTTGTAGTTTTGACGTTGTGCAAGGAAACAAGCCGTGTTTACCTGTGCTACCATCTTGACCGCAAGTACTCACTCAGCAGGTGCTTTCAAACGCTCCCTTTACAGATGAATGAAAGGATTGACAGGCAGAAGACTGATACCAACTCCTGGCACACTTGCAGTACCTATTTACCAAAGGCTTAACCACTTTTTTGTTCTCTTGAACTAAAACCCATGCCATAAGAAAAAGGCACTATTTAATATTTAGTCACTATTTTGAATGGCATTATGAGTAGAAAAAAGTATATTGTAATTAGTACAATAGAGCACCAGAAAGGAGTAAAGGAAGGAAGGACCTTAAGTTGGAATTAAAGTCGCACCCACTGCTATTATTCACTGAAAATAGCGGTCAACAAACACCTCCTGGTGTTGAGGCAGTGGTGGTGAAGAGTGAATACAAATTATGGCGACTTGGAGCTGTCTTTTCCAGCAGTTGGGTGAAGTCCAAGAATGCCTGGTTGCTCTTCCAGATTCGTGAATAGCTCCAAGCAGTGAGAGATTGCACCTTGTCTCTCAGTATCTACTCCACTTTCGTTCCCTTCTGGGTGACAAAGCATCCAGCTTTTCTTACAGCTAGAGGTGGCCAATGGTACATAAATAGGTGGTGTGGCACCTCTGGAAAAGCTCCTTCAGAAAGGGACATAATTCTGGCAGGTAACTTTTTTGGCATTTTCCTTTCCCCCCTTTTTGACAGGAGGAACTGTCAGTTCTGTGAGCTCCTCTCACAAGTTATCCGCGGTACATGAGGGAATTTTAGGAAGTTCTGATTTGTAGCCCATCGGTCAAAGCACTGATAACAACCTAGATTCTAAACGGGCAAGGGGAGCCAGGAGTCTATTTGGACTGAACCCTTAACCTGTGGAATCGGATGCCATCTCTGGGCAACCAGAGTGAGAACTGAGCTGAACTGTAAGACACCCAGCTAATGTCTGGAAAATAACTCAGTACCGTGTGGAAATCCCAACCCCTTCACACACTGAAACTTTTGTCTCAGAACCATTTTAGACAGAAAAGTCAGACACAACCAGGAAGACAAATTAGCAGCTGTCTACGTGATTTATTAGCACAGGTTTGACGAAATTAGTGGGAAATATGCCTAAAGAAAGCTGACTCAACCCTCTAGCACATAATACAAATGCTTCTTTCATTACATTCTTTACAGTGGCACAACCCCCTCCAAAACTTTTACCAGAACTTCCCCCACTTAAAAAGTCATAAAAGTACATAAAGCCATAAAAGTTATTAGGAAAAAAAATAATAATTTTTAGAAATCCTCCTGGGGTGGGAAAGGCTTTTTAAAATATGAAATAAAAATTGGTACATTAACTATATTAAATACTCTAAACACAGAAACCAAGAATTACTACTGGGAAAAAATTATTTGTAAGATATAAATGGCCAAGTTTCCTAATCCCCAAAAAATATTTTAAAAATCACTAACAAAATTAAAAATTACGAAGAAAAACAATTTTCGATTGCACATGTCAAACCCTGCTAGTGGCCTTCAGAAAGGCGAGGGTACCTGGCAAGACGGAAAAGAAAGCTTGGTTGTCAGGCTTCGCCGGGAGCACCCAGACCCTGAGACACCCCCCCCCATAATTCCACACAGCCAGATCCACGCACAACTCAAATATTTTTGTTGGTGCGAACGTAACACATTGAAAACACTGGGTTTTCAACTTGAAGTTCATTCTAACAGGTTTTCAAGTCTTTATAATAAATTTTCAGCCAGAGTTTTGGTATCAAGGAACTAGCAACGCGTGGCTTCGCATGGTCATCAAGTCTGTGGCTCATCTACTTTCATCCTTTCCAGAGTCATCCCAACAGTCTGGGGGGAACATACAGGCTGGACAACATTGTGTCCAAACCCCAAACTGTTTGCGGTCCAATCACATCACATATGCCTTTGTTCTTAGAAAATAAGAGAACTGGATTAGCACATTTTCTCCAGGACGGAAAGGATATTTCAAAGCTAAAGCTAAATTTATGAAATTTTGTAATTTGTCGTTGAAGATGGTCACACCATTCTACCAACGTACGTATGTTGAGTCCTCCTTAGGGAGAAAAACCAAAAAATCTCCTAAGGTATGATCCCCACCTTCATACATCCCAACATATATATTTTTAAAACAATAAATCAAATACAGAATTCAGAACATGCAACAATGTCTTTTATTACGTATGGGTTTTAGAAATTATTTCCTCAATCTCTCCATTCACAGGGAAAAGTGTACTGTTTAATTTGCAAAACTGATCATTCATTGCCTACAGTGGTGAAAATTATCCCTAAAATGTGCTTAACCAGGAGGCCAGTTCATCTGCCGACCTCCGAGAACATGAAGGTGAACGTGATAGACAGACTGTCCCCCATCGGAGCCTTCGTTCACCACCATTCGGTAGCCCTTCTTCAGGCCCAGGTCAGCAGCACATTTCTTGCCAACAATCATTAAATGTCCAAGAAGCTGGAAAAGAAAAAAAAAAGTGTCTTAAGCACTGGCGATTTACAACTTCTAGACATTTAATAATAACTACCAAGGTGAAATATTAAGTTAAAAAAACTGCCAGGTTAAAACTCTTTTGTGGTGACTGTGGGGCGGGGAGGGAGGGTGGTTTAAGAGAGTATGAGGTAATGGAAAAAATACAATAAAAATATTAATAAAAGGGAGATTTTTTAAATCCTCCTTTAGGCAAATATTTGGAAACTCTTTTCATCCTAACACAACATAACTTTTAATAAAAACCTAGTAAGATTAGATATTTATTACTAATTCCAATCAAAAGATTAGAAGCATGTATCTATTTCTCAATGAAAATAATTTTTAAGTGTTCTTAATAAAGCAAGACATCTTGCTCTCTTGTTATGGGACAGTGTATCAGTCAGGATAGACTGATTCTGCTGTGGTAACAAACCACCCCAAAATCTGGCTTAAAACAAAGAAGCATGTCTTGCGTTCACTACATGTTCATCACGAGTTGGCCCAGCTCTGTTTCTACATCTTTTTCACTCTGAAACCCAGGATGATGGAGCAGCCACTACAAAACCACATGGCAGAGGGAAGAGAGAACATGGCACAGCAGGTGCTAGTTCTTAGTTTCCACTCAAAAGACATGGATCGTTTCACTGACCAAATCAAGTCATATCACCAGTCCTGACATCAATGAGGCAGCAGGTGTAATGCACCCCTAAAGAATAGTCAATTTGTACGAGCAATTATACAACCTACCACAAAGAGCATTAGGAAAATATTTTAATTGAGGCCTGTACCTCCTGGTAAATGCAAATAATTATTTTCCCCTTTAACAGTATTAATAGAAGAGTCCATAAATCCTGTCCTATATGATATGCTACTTCTCTGAGGAAAAATGAGTCTCACCAATCATTATGTGGAACCCTTTCTCCTCAAGAATTTGTGGTGATGGACGTTAACTGGAATTACTATGGTGATCGTTTCACAGTACATACATATGTTCAATCGTTATGTTGTATACTTAAAACCAACATGCCAAGTATATCTCTTTTTTTAAAAATCAAACTACTTATAATTAGTATTGAAGCTCTAATGATTTTGCTTTCTTTAGTAATGCTGATGGTAAAACAAATATGTAACATCAGTTTACGGTCGAAATTTAGTCTCCCGATTTAAAAAGCAAGAAAATAAAATTTGTGCCAGTAACTTTACTTACACTTTCGTCAGCATCTTCTGCTACAGAAATCTGGGATATGTGCTTCTTGGGTATCACCAGAAAATGCGTTGGCGCTTGAGGGGAAATGTCATGAAAAGCAAGACACTAAAGAGGAGGGGAGAAAAAAAAATCAAAGTTTAGTGAATATACCATCTTGTAAGCTAAACTTACTCTTTCACACTAACCCCAGGGGAGACACTGTAGTAAATGCTAGGAAACCAGTCATGTACCCAAATGCATGCGGTTCCCTGGTCCTTTTCATGGAACTTACAGTCTAATGGGAAGTCTGACTTTAGATCCTACATGTTACAAAGCAAAAGTAAAAGTGAAATAAATTATTATCAGAGAAAAGTCTGATGATTTCAACTGGGTGTAGCAACTTCGAGGATGCAACATTTAAACATCCAAAGGATGAGCAGACATTAATGTAGACAAACCCTTGTCTGCCTTTCCAGTTCGATCTCCTACAGCTGTCAAAGCACTCAAGCTGTCCCTCTTATGCTCAGGGCTTTTTCCAGTGGTTTCCTCAACTGCAATGATCCTCTCTGCCATCAGTCCAGCTCTGGTCTAACTTAAACTGCTACTTCCAAAAGATACCTTCTCCAATGCCTCTCCCCACCTTCCCCAGGTCAGGAGCCCCTGGTTGTGTAATATCTGGCTTTTTTCCTTTACTGCAGTCATCAGTTTTGTATTTGTGTAACTACCCATTTCTTCCAATTTTACTCAATGTTTAAGAAAGGTCCTTATTTTCCTTTATAGAAATGAAGATAGCATGTAGACAAACGACACACACACGATTGTTTTTGTATCTCTTCTTCCCTCCTGAAGGTGGACGCTGCTTAACTTTTAATAAATATCCTGCTGTCCTGTCTCAGGAGTAATTCTATCGGGTATTCCATACAGAATGCTGTATCATTTAGATCGCTTCCTGATGTTATACTGTTGGGACTATGGTGGTTCAAAGGTCAAGTGTTTTAACGATCATTTATAAAAAAGCAACTGAAATTATTTCAAAAGAAATGTGCACTCTCCAAAACAAATGAACTTCCCTAAGTATCAACAAAAGAATTTAAATTCACCTCGAGGAATTAACATTTTGAATCTAAGAACGCTCCTAGTGGCTTAAAACGAATGTTTCCCTTATTTTCCATATTTCTTAAATGTAACAGAGTTTACAGAATGTTTTCTGTGTTACTCAGCCAACTTCCTGCTACGCTTTATCTGAGACCCAAGCCCAGAAATATAACAGCCCATTAACTATTTTACAGGATATGTCTGAAAGTCACATCAAGTCGGCCTTCCTAAAGGCCTTCCTCACCTATGGTGAGGTCAACAAGAACTACAGTCTCAGTCTCTTGGCACAAAATTGCTTCCTGCCAAATATAAAAGAAACCATTCTTCCCGGGCGGGGCGAAAGAAGAGCAAATCCCCGAAGCAGGCCCATTTAGTTCAAAGTCCGAGGTCCAAGTAGAGGGGTGGGGGTCGGGTGCGGTGCGGGTGACGAGCCGGCCCCGCGCGCCCGCACTCCCCCCGCGGCCCCGAAGCGCGTGCCGTCGGCCCTCCAGCGCCACGCGGCGCGGTGAGGACCCGGGGATCACCGGGCAGCGTGCGCGGGAGATCGCGGAGATTGGGCCTGAGTCAGGGCGCATCGGGTTTCTCTCCGTCAGGCAGAGCGCTGGCGAGATTGTGAGATTCCTGACAAAGGCGAGGTCCGAGGCAGCCGCGGAGTAGGCGGGCGCCCACGCCGCGGACCCGGCGCGCCCTTCACAGGCGGAAAGACCCCGCGACGCAGGCCCCGCGGCGCCAGGCGGCCTGGCCCGCGCCCGTGCTGATAACGCGTAACCGGAGCGCCGGCACGCGCCGGCAGGCCGCTGGCCGGGGGCCCGCGGCAGAGGCCGAACTGGTCTGCTGGGTCCCTTCCTTCCCCTTCCCCGCGGCGCCGCCCGACCCTTCTTTACCCTGGGTGGGGAACCGGCAATCCCACGCGCGGCCACCCAGCCTGAGCCCACGTGCGAGGTGGCGCCCGGTGCCTACCTGGTCATCCTCAAAAATGATTTTGGCTGGGATTTCCTTGCGAATGATCTTCCCGAAGATCGTGTCGCCACCAGGCCGAGCGGCCTGAGCTTTGGCGATCTCATCTGCCATCGCGGCCTCCCTTCCGCCCGTCAGCCGGGCAAGAAGCTCGGGGGAGGGGGAGCGGGCGGAGGGCGGGAGCGCGAGACCAAGCCTGCGCTGGGACCGCTGCTTGCTTTAAGGTGCTGGTCCTGCGCCTGCGCACTGGCAACGGGAGCCGCGGCTGCGGCGGGCGCGTTGGCTGTGCGCTGGGGAGACCGGGGAAGCTGCAGAGTTCCGGAAGGAGGCTGTACATCCCAGGCTCCAAGGAGCCGTACGGAGATCGTTTTTCCTTATTTCTTTCTGGTCTCTGAGGCAATGGAGTTAGTGGTAGAAGCCTATCTTCTCTTGCTTTATGGACCCTTGCAGCAAAAATTAGATATTGTAACTGAAAAGATTTGATAGTTCAAACGGTGTTGTCCCTGTTTTCTGGGTGAGACCCCGTGACACTCATTTCTCATCTACTGTAGGTCTAGGGTCCAGCAAGTACGCCTTTCTTGCATCATTTCCCCCTCCCTCTAGCAGTGGTTCTCAACCCGGACTGCACGTTAAAGTCATTTGGGGAGCAATAAAAAATCCAGGGAACCTGGCCACACCCCAGATCAATTCAATCAGACACCGATGGTGAGACCCAGGCATCAGTATTGTGTGAACCTCCCTAGAATCTTCTACAAAGAATTTTTCTAGCAGTAAACATAATGTCAAATGCCCAACCGTAAACATTTCTTAACCACAAGTCTTCCATATCTTTGCTCATTTTCAAGATTTTTTCCTGTATATTGTGGACACTTTCTGATCTTTCTTTTTTGAGCCCTTTTGTCAAAATCACCGAGGACCTCCACTTACAAAATCCTATAGGTAATTCTAGTTATCATCATACTAGACCTCTTGGCATCATTGGCCACTGTTGACCATACTCTGGCCTCAGCAATAGTCCGCTCTTCAACCTCTTTGGATGCTATATCTCCTTCGCAATGGGCTTTTTCCTATTCCAGGCTTCTCGATGGATTCTGTTCAGGGCCCTTTTCTCTAGCTAACGATCTGCAGGTGTCCTTATTAAGACAAATTAACTGTATCCCCCCCCCTTACCTGTATGTCTCTATATTTTACCACTTTGTCTTGGCAAAATTTACTGATAGTGCACTGATCCCTTTGATGTCAAAAGTGTCCCAATTTGTTATTTTTGTTATCAAAGGCATTACTGGGACAATTGGTGAAACCTAAATAATGCCTGTAAATTATATAATAGTTTTAGAATCATGTTAATTTCATATCATATCCACAGCAAAATTATCAAAATCAGTTGACTTATAGTGGAGCTGTGTAACTTAGGTGCCTATATAATGTCGTAAAAGGTAAGATTTCCTTCTTTTTTCAGCCAGGCAGTGTTCCATTGTGTAAATGTACCAAATCTTTTTTATCCACTTATCTACCAATGGGCACTTTGGCTGTGTCCAGATCTTGGCTATTGTAAATAATGCTGCTATGAACAAGAATATGCTGCTATGAGCATATTCTTTCTGGTTTGTGTTTCAGGATTCTTAGGATATATTTCCAGAAGAGTGGTCACTGAGTTCAAATTTATTTTTACTTTGTCCTCAAGAATAGAACAAAAAGACTCCTCCTGCAGTATTCTATATTTTCTATGAACACCATTCATTGAATTGTTTAAGTCAAAAGCCTTAAAATAATCCTTTACTCTTCTGCCAGTACTTTCAGCACATTTCGTGAATATAGTCACTTCTTACATCTACTCCATTACCCCAATCCAAGCTACTATCATCAAGATGATCTCCTTATCTCTAGAACCAAGGAGTATGTTCCTATACATGGTAAACGGGATTTGCTGATACAATGAAGTTAAGAATCTTGAGGTATGGAGATGCCTAGATTTCCCAGGTGGGGCCAGTGAATTCACAGGGGCCCGTATAAGTGAAAAGGAACACAACAGAATGAGAGTCAGAGAAGGAGACAGGATAATGGAAGCAGGGGTGAAAGTGTAAGATGGGTGCAGTACTGTTGGCTTTGAAGATGGAAGAGACCACAGGAAGATGACATTCTGGAAGTCAGAAGTCTGAATTGGGTTTTACTGAGCTAAAATTATGGTAACAGCAGGGCTGCATATCTTCCAGAAGCGCTAGAGGAGAATGGTTTTCTTACCCTGTCCAGCTTCTAGAGGCCACATTCATTCCTTGGCTTCCTTCCTCCACCTTCAAAGCCAGAAGCAGAGCATCTTCAAGCTGCTCACTAACTCTGCTTCCTTCTTCCACTTACAAGGATCCTTGTGATTATCTTGGGCCTACCAGACAATCCAGGATAATCATTCCATCTCAAAATCCTTAATTTAATCACATCTGCAAAGTCCTTTTTGTCATATAAGGAACATATTCAGAAGTTCCTAGGATTTTGGAGGCCGTTATTCTGCCTACCACATAGCTCCATGAACTTACATGATGAACAGGTTGGAGTTTCCTATTCAGTTCTGGGTCCCACACTTTGAGATGCCAACAAATGAAGACATATTCCCAGAACAACCAGAAGAGTCACCCCATTTATGGAAAATCTGAAGGAACCATAGAGATTTATCTAAGAAGAGAGAAGCTTCAGTACTGAACTGATTTGGGCACTATGGGGACTGTATTTTCTAATATTGGCTAATTAAGGCTTTTGGTTAATTGAATAAAGGACCCCAGTTAGCTAGAAATTGTAACAATAAATTATACACTTTCAGGAAGGTAGGCTATGATCCTGAACTGGAAATGAAGTAAGCATCTTTCTATCATTCATTAGCAATCAGAAGACTTCACTGCAATATCACAAGATCATCTACTTTATTGTTTCCTGGATAAAAGAAAGTACTCAGTATTTTTGGCTTAATTATGTTGAACATTCTTTTGCAAGTCTGATATGTTTTGTAAAAAAGCAAAGTCAACTCAAAATTGTCATGGGGATGTAAAGTACAGCATAGGGAATATAGTCAGTGATATTGTTATAACTATGTACAGTGCCATGTGGGTACTAGACCTTCTGGGAAGATCGCTTGGTAAATTATGTGTCTAACCACTATCCTGTACACATGAAATTAGTATAAAATAATATTGAATGCCCAATATATTGACAAATAAAAAATTTGTATTAAAAAAGCAAAGTAGACTATTTTTTGCTATTTTCATGATGACTTTCAAATGACATAAATCACAGAGGTGGAAAGGAGTCTTGGAGACCCATTGGTCAAAATCTCTTTATTTTTAATAAAAAGTCAATTTTACCTACAAGTTATCTGAAAGGTTGTACGGGATACAAAAGGCAAACAAAGTTTATGCAGTCGGAACAAGGTTAGGATTTTTCTTGATGCTTACAAGGCCATAAGTTAAAATGTATTTAAGGAAATGCTTTGTGATTATTTATGATTCATAAACTATTTCTGATTACTTGCAAAGACAATGAGTAAGGCTGGGCATTTAAAGGGTAAGACTAGGCTTTCAGGTCAGAAACAGGGATTTGTAACCCAGACTTCCATTTACAAGTCCTGAGGTCTTAAGCAAGTAACTCGTCTTCACCTTCTAAGGAAATTCAACGAGAGAATGTACGCATAGCACTTTGGGGAGTCACCCAATCAATTGATTGGAGTTCCAATCAATGTCAGTCCCCTACAGTTGTTATGACTTGGCTCTCACTTAAGCAATTCTGCAAGAAGACAGTTGCAACTGGAAAACGTTATAGTAAGAGTTCTTAAATGATAAGCCTGAACCCGAAACGGGATAATGAATGGTATGTATATTGTAGATGCTGAAGCCATCCATTAAATGTCAATCCACTCTCTGCCACCAGGGGCTGCACCGAAAAGACCGGAAGTGACTCTGCCCCTAACTAACATGGCGTCCAGGTGATTTCCGTTCTCCTCACGCCTAGAAGGGACTTCGGAGGCTTCTCGCGGTTTTACCGCACTCAGACGTCTACGTTCTTCAAACTCCCCTCACACCGAGTCCTTGGAAGGCGGGGCTACAAAGGGAATCCTGCGTGGTGATTGGTTGCGGTGGCTTCGGTGCATAGTTACCGGAGTTGGCCGGCGCAGGCCAAAGCGGGATTGGTTGCTGGAGGCGGGACGAGTAGACTGCTGGAGAGGTAGCCGCTGCGGTGAGGAGAGACATGGGTCAGGCAACCAAGGTGACAGGGCATGGGGAGGTGTTGGGTGTGATGCTGACCGTGGGTATTAAGAGCTAAGCCTGATGAATGTTTTCAGGAGTCCTGTAGCTAGCGTTCAGGCCCTCCACGGAGGATATATATGGCTGTTGCCCCTGACGCATCGGGTGCCTAACCCCGAAGAGTATTCAAGGGTTTGTGCAGGTGCCTAGGAGAGAGGGAGGCACCAGTGCCTCCTAGTTCTTAGTCCACCAGGGTACCGAGTGTGTTCCGTGATGCAAGACTTGAGTTCTGCCCGCATTTCTTCTCCCCACCGAGTATTTGTGTGAGGGACCCATTTCCCATCCTTGGGAAGTAAGTGTGGGAAAACACCAAAGGCAGCCCTGCGTTCCCATCATCGCAAGAGGTGAAAGGTATAGTAATATAACTGGAAGCTACACAGAAGTCTAGGAACCAAGGAAACCAAGTCCCGGCAAATTCATTACCAAAAATAACAGCTACACAGAACAGAGACCTGAGCGCTCTGAATGAGCTTGGGAAGCGATGGCCGTGCCGGGGTCACATTCCTGAGCTCCTGGTCTCAAGTCCGTTTGTCATCAAGCTGATGCATGTTCCTGGTCGATAAATAATTTTCAGAGACAAGCCATTCTTAATCTTAAATATCAGCATGGCTGGTTGGGATCTGTCCCTGTTGGGATCTGGCTCAAACACAGACATGGAAAGGGGGAAATGCCCCGCTAGAATATAGTGAGGAAGAGCAATGCTATTGTCAGTAACAGGGAGCCGCTAAGCAGTGCCTCATGTACGCTGAACCTGCTGTCAGCACGTTGTAACATATGTCACAGCACCAAGACAGACAGAATTGTAAAGGATTATTCTTTCAAAAAACTTTCTGAGTGGCCATAATAGCTATTAGTAATACCTAACAGCCAACATTTAGCCTATACTATCTAAGCATAGCGGATCCAACAATAAACAGGCCATCTTTGCCTTCGTACAGAAGTCTAGCAGGTCAGGGGATTTATAACAATTACCTAATTAGAATTGTAAGTGCTTTGAGTTGAAAATACAGTGTATTTGTGCACATATAATTGGGATTTCTCCTATCTGGAGGGATGCAAAAAAAATAGCTTTAATAAAAATTAAAGTTAGGTTGTAACCTCAAGTTTAGAAATTAGCTAGGAGAAGGGAGAAAAAGACCATTCCAGAAAGGGGAACTAGCATGTGGAAAGTCCTTGAAATGGGAAGTTGCTTGGAAAACTTGAATACAAATGAAAAGATTCATTCCAAAAAAGCATTTTAGCCAGGCCTACAATGTATGGAAGACACCTATGCTAAGCATGGAGGACACAAAGGTAACCCGGAAGCCTTTGAGGAAGTATGGCACAAGTAAGCAATTAACATACAGCGTAGTGAGTGCCCAGTGTTGGGGATATACTCAGAGGGGCACATAACCTTGGCTTAGAAGGAGGGGGTAATGACTGTCTTCAGTGAAGCCTAGTACAGAAATTATACCATACACCCTTAAAATTACCTTTTTTTTATTCAAAAAAAAATTTAACACAAAAAGTCTCAGTAACTTGTCCAAGTTTACAATAAGTGCCAAAGTCCGATTCAAACTGATCTGACTGAAGAGTACATTCTCTATATACACTGCCTGAATGTGTCCAATCAGTATAAGGAAATGGGGACAAGAAGACGACCTATGACCTTTCTACTTTTGAATAAAAGTGTATTAACTCCAAGGTGATACTAGCTCTGATAATTCCAGGGTAGTAATGATAACCTCATCTTAATGTGATGATATCTGCAAAGACCCTATTTTCAACTAAGGTCACAATTTCAGGTACTGGGGACTAGGACTTTAACATTTCTTGGGAGGAAATAAGTCAAACCATACAATGTTAATATACAACAATCTGTTTACTCATTCATGAGTTTATGAACATTTGGGTTGTTCATACTTTTTGACTCGAGTACAAATAATACTACTATGGGCATTCATGTATGAGTTTTTGTATGAATACATGTTTTTTAAATATATTTTATTGATTATGCCATTACAGCTGTCCCATTTCCCCCCTTCATTCCCCTCCTCCCATATTCCCATACTTTAGCTCATGTCCATGTGTCATAAGTTCTTTAGCTTCTACATTTCCCACACTACTCTTGCCCTCCCCCTATTTTCTCCCCACTATCTACTCTATTTATTCTCTGTACCTTCTCCCCTCCTCTCCTCCTCCCACTCCCCTGTTGCTAACCCTCCCTGTGATCTCCATTTCTGTGGCTCCACTCCTGATCTAGCTGTCTGCTTAGTTTGCTTTTGTTTTAGGTGTGGTTCTTAATAACTGTGAGTTTGCTGTCCTTTCACTGTTCATATTTCTTATCTTTTTCTTAGATAAGTCCCTTTAATGTTTCATATAATAAGGGCTTGGTGATGATGAACTTCTTCAACTTGACCTTATCTGAGAAGCACTTTATCTGTCCTTCCATTCTAAATGAAAGTTTTGCTGCATAGAGCAGTCTTGGATGTAGGTCCTTGCCTTTCATGACTTGGAAGACTTCTTTCCAGCCCCTTCTCACCTGTAAGGTCTCTTTTGAGAAATCCGCTGACAGTCTGATGGGGACTCCTTTGTAGGTGACTGTCCCCTTAGCTCTTGCTGCTTCTAGGATTCTCTCCTTCATTTTAATCTTGGCTAATGTAATTATGATGTGCCTTGGTGTGTTTCTTCTTGGGTCCAACTTTTTTGGTACTCTCTGAGCTTCCTGGATTTCCTGGAAGTCTATTTCCTTTGCCAGATTGGGGAAATTCTCCTTTATTATTTGTTCAAATAAGTTTTCCACTGGTGGCTGTTCCTCTTCCCCTTCTGATACCCCTATAATTCAGATGTTGGAGCGTTTAAAGATGTCCTGGAGGTTCCTAAGCCTCTCCTCATTTTTTTGAATTCTTGCTTCTTGACTCTTTTCTGTTTGGCCATTATTTGCTTTCTTCTGGTCCACTCCATTGATTTGAGTCCCAGTTTCCTTTTCATTGCTGTTGGTTTCCTGTGCAATTCCATTCATTTCAATTAGTTTTGCCTTCATATGTTTGTCTAATTTGTGGCTATAATCAACCAGTTCTGTGAGGATTCTGATCACTAGTGTTTTCAACTGTGCGTCTGAGAGTTTTGCTATTTCTTCAGTGCTTAGATTTATAGGCTCTGGGGCTTTGAGATCTTCTTGAGCCATTTTTGGTCTGTTTGCACTCGTCAAGTATGAGGAGCGGAGCCTTGTACTCCCAGGTCTCTGGGTTTTGACTCTGTATATGGAGGTGGGGTCAGAGTGGGGAAATGGTGGTCCCCTCTGCTGTTTTGCACCGCTGGGTGAAGAGCAGAGCCTTAGGTTGTTCACTGGGGCGGGGCCACTTAGGTCGCTTGATTATGATGCTGTATGTGGAGGTGGGGTCAGAGCGGGGAAATGGCGGCGCCCTCCTCCGCCGCTTGCTGCTGGGGCTGCTGGCTCTCGTCCAATCACCCACTCCCTCGCTTGTCTAAATGCACGACCACAGTCAACCCGCAGCCCTGCTCCCTCGCTGTTTCCCCAGGGTGGCTCGCTGGGTCGCTCACTAGGTCCAACCCGGGGCCTGGGTTCCGCGCGCCTGAGTTTGTCTGACCGAGTTTTCCTGTGCAACCCTGCTCTGCCAGCTGCTGGTTTCACCCCTCTTACCAGTCAGGCTGAAGAATTTGTTGTTATCAGACTTCCGAAAAGTTCAGTTTTCTGTGTTCTGACTGTGTTTTCTGTTGATATTATTTAGTTGTCTCTAAACTTGGTTGTGTGAGGAAGCACAGCGTCTCCAGCTATGCCTCCATCTTGGCGGAAGTAGTTACTTCTATGTTTCTAAATATGCTTAAAGTGCTATTAATTTATTTCTCTTTGGAGATATAATTTGTTGACTTTTAACCATGGAGGTTGAGGACTAAGCTTCCTCTTACACCTTATTCATCTCAATATACAAGTTTTGGCTATCAGTTTTGTCTCTGGTATCATTTGACTATATAAAACTTACCCACACCTGATCTCTCTAATATAAATATTACATTGCTTTAATCTGTAATTCTTAATTTTTCTTCAAATTAATAACTGTTTTTATCATTAGTTAGTTCCATATATATTTCCAAACTCTGAACAAAACTAAAATCTACCAGTTTTATACTTTCCCTAGTAACATCTTTTCTGGAACAGTTGAGGCTTTTCCTGTAGTCCAGACTAGTTGATTTTTTGGCTGGTTGCACAAATGCTGACCTGTATTTGTCCTTTACCATCATCTGTGCCTCTCTGGTGTTGGGTCCCCTGTCTTCCTGATTCCCATGCTTTTTTCTTCTGTGGTTCATCCCTTGTTTTGGTGGAGCGCATTTGGTGGAACCCGTGTAGTGTTCCAAGAAAAGGTATATGGCATATAAGAGAATTTGCATTTCTGAAAATGTCTGTTTGCCCTTGTACAGTAGGTGGCTTGTATGGTACTCTAAGCTGGACACTTTCTTTTCAAAACCTGCAGATGTTACGCTATTGTCTTCTCACAGTGATGCTATTTAGAAGTCAGGTGCCATTCTGACTTTCTACCATTTGTACATGAACTGTTTTTTTCTCTCAGATTTTTCTTTCTATTAACATTGTGCTGAACTTAGGATGAGATGTGGTGTGGATTTTGTGTTGGGCACTTGGTGGAGCCCTTTCAATTTAGTAACTCACATAGCTTACTTGGTGAACTTTTCTCGATTTATCCCCCTTTTAATTTCTGTTTTCTCCGTTCCCTGTTGTTGGAGCCATCTAGACCACTCCCTTAATCTTCTTACCTGTTCTCTCCTCAATTTCTCTCTCAATTTCACTCTACTTTCTGGGCAGTTTTACTCTACTTAGTCTTTGCTCTCACTCATTTAGTATCCAAGAGCTTTTGGGAGTTTTATGAATGTTCCTTTTTAATTTAACTTTGTTGTTGTAGTTATTCCATGTTTGCAATAATTTATGAGTTAATTGTAGTTATTTGGTTTTTGTTTTGTTTTGTTTTATTTTTATGTTTTCTGCTCTTCGTTTCCTGTTTCTGATTTGGTGTCTGCCTTGGACGTGATAGGTTTTCTAATGTTTAAAATAGTGCCTAGCACACAGGAGATTCTCAGTAAATGTTAGCTATTACTATGTGATAAACTGACTGCAGGAAAGGAGAGAGTGGTGGCAGAGAAGGGTGACAGATCTCTGTAAGTTGTCTAAGAAAGACATGGGGAGCATCTGATCTTAAATGGTTTGAGGGTATGGTGAATATACCAAAAAAATTAGTCATCCTAACATTTCCACATGAAGAGTGAGGTATACTTAAAGTTGACCTTGAGATTTTGGGCTTGAGAAATTCTGTATCTTCCATAACTGACATTGAGAAGACAGGAGGAAAAGCAGTACTGGGGCAGTAATATGGAGGACCTTTTGGGATTTGAGAGTGTGAGGCAGCCTCAGCCACTGTCTGCTCTTCCCAAAGTGGCAGGCTCTCTTCTCTCCAATTTTTGGCACAGTTGTAGAATACTAAAAAATCTCAGCATTTTATTTATTTTTTGAGAAATCACAATTGAACTCGCCTAAATTACCTGAAATATCTTCCTTCTGGACTCTCTTAAGATATAATAAGATCATGACTTTGTTTCTATGTGTGTCTCACTTTAAGAACAGATGAAGGCCTCACCATGTTAAGAAAAATGATAACAATACATACCAGACTGGTAAAGTTGTTTACCTCAGCAGACTGGTTTTGGCATTATTAACTTTTTAATTATCTTTGAATTGTTTTGTTTTAAAGAACTTTGTATTATTTTTGTAAATAAAGTTATTTTTTAATTAAAATATATATATAATTAATAGAAAGATATTTTGACAAACCCTGGTTTTCATCAGCTACTTTGAAAAAATAGTCTAAGAAACAAACAGAAAAGAAACACTGTTTAAATCTTGTAATTATGTAAAAGGTGACTTTTTTTCTTTTGAGGTCTGAGTTCTGTTTTTCTTGATAGGTTTTACAGCTCTTCAAAACATTGCACAGGACCAGACAACAAGTTTTTAAAAATGATACCAGAGCATTAGAAGGTAAGTTGTTTTTTTTCCCTTCGGAAAAAGTCCATTCTTCAATGACTGCTAACATACGCGAGAAACCATGTACACAGTCAAGGCTCATCTTAGGGAATGCCCTTCACTACCTCTTCTCTAATGTTGTTTTGTGTTATAAAGATTAGTTTACATTACACTTTTTTGCGGAGTATATACTTAAAGAAAGTGAAAGTCACTTCTCTATCTTATAATCAGATTTTCACACTCTCTAGGACCAGATACCACATTGTTAATACCTCATGTCATTCTAGAAGTGACAGCAGCTAATACTGGATCTATCCCAAACAATCCCAAATTCAGTATTTCACTATTTTATGTGGTTTCTATCTTACCCGGAAGTCAGAAATGTGGAGCGTAGGCTCTGTGTTGGTCAGGTTTGGTTCCGGTCCTCATACATTTCTAAACCTCTTTAACCTAGGTAAGTGTCCCCACCGTCCCCAGGAATTCAAGTTTTTGGAATTCACCAAAAGTAATTTCTTGAATATTACAGTATATACTTTATATTGTACTTTGCACAAATTCTTTATTTAATTCTTCTAACAGCCCAGTGATGTAGTTGCTTTTATAATTTCTCTTTTTTCAGATTAGAAACTAAAATGTGGAAGGACTTGCCCTGCATTGTGCTCAGTACAAGCGAGAGCTAGGGCTCGGTCTGTGCAGGGTGACTCCAAAGCCCAGGCTCCTAACCAACCACCTTAGGTACTGCAGTTACTTGCTGCAGTTATGAAGCACAGCAGGAAGGCTTTATGACTGTTCTCCATCAAAAGAGCATATTTTTGTTATTTTAAATGCTTCTAAGTGAAATAATCATAAGAACAGCTAACATTGCATATTTACTAGCCACTTTGCATGGGTCATTCCATTAAATGCCCACAGAAATACAATAGGCAGTTTGTAATAGGCAGTTTGTAATGATGCCACAGTCTCGCTGGTGCCTAGAACAACAGCTTTATTTGTCACTCACTTTACCTGTCAGCCAAGGCTTTGAGGCTGCTATATCTTTATTTTAATTTGTGTATGTATGTGTTGTTTAATGTGCTTATATATATTGAGTTTCGCCATCTTAAAATTTTTAATTTAAATTCTTAGATTTATAGCAACAAATCATTGGATTTATTAGAATCTAATAGATGTACATAAATGAAATTGGAATTAAAAAGCAGGATACAAAAGTATTAGAGTGATGAATGTTTATATTAGGTTTCATTACAAATTTGCCAGCCTGTTGGAAGCTCTCCAAGAGACTTCTTTAATCAGTTTCTTATTTTGCCCACTTTGTTTCACATGCAGCAAAACTATTTCCTCTACTACAGAAGTAGCCATTCATAATGAATAACATGTAAATTATTGGGGCTGGAATTATAAATTAGAAAAGCAAATAACTGTATATGTATTTTTCTTTCTGTAGCAGCCAGAATAAAAATAAATGAAGAATTCAAAAATAATAAAAGTGAAACTTCTCCTAAGAAAATAGAAGAGGTACAGTAATGTTTTCAATTACAATATAGCTCATAAGTTTTCTTAGCAACTGGAGGAAATGATGAAAATAGAAGGGTTATTTGATATAAAAACCCTGATAGTCAGAACAACTATAGATAACCTTCACTTATTCAGTATGGCTCCCCTCCTCTGGTTCATCTCCTTATATCCATAAGACAGCAAGTTGTGTGGTAAAAAGAACCTGGATGTTGCCACAGTCCAAACAAGAGCCGCTGAATCATTCTAGACACCATAGAAATGCTGCCTTCCCTTAAGGCAGGTGACTGAAAGTACAGAGAATGAATGAGTGCTGTAGTAACTCAGAACTACAGAGGTAACATCTCCCTATTGAGCTCAACCAGACAGATTTTTTTTTTTAATTCCTATGTTGGCAGTGGAATTAACCAGCCACAGTTTATGACCTACTCTTGGTTTGCCTTCTATATTTGCATTTTAGTCACTTGTTCTAATTAAATACAGTCTACTGACATTAGTCTGTGAATTCCCTAGTACTCCCCGTACATATTCATTGAAAAAAATGCACAATGATTTATTTTCTGTATAAAATTATGCTGCATATATACATTGTCTCAGTCTTAAACTTCCCAAGTATTCCAGTATCTAACTTTGTATCAAATGGGAGAAAAAGACCCATAGGAAGAAAATGAAAAATGGAGAATTATTTGCAGGAGTAGTTATGATTCTAAGAATTGGTTTGATAATAGGAATGGTACAAATTAGAGAAATTTTTGGATATTTAATAAAATTTCCACATCTTAAAAAATATTTTATAAATATACATTTATATTTAAAAAGTGACATTTTTGAAGTAGTAAATATCTATAATAAAGTAATGATATAAAATAAGATACCTTAAATATTTCTATCACTATAAGATAAAGAAAAAAGGGAAAGATTTCTCTCAAGCATATGACAGGGCAAACAGGGTATACAATTCTCATTTATACAGAAGGTAAGATGGCAGAGACCAGCACTCCTCAAACTTTCTGTTCTCAAGACCCCTTCATATTCTTAAAAATGGAGGACCATAAGAAGTGCTGTTTTTATGTCATACATATCAATATTTACCATATTAGAATTTAAAACTGAGAAATTTAAAATATATACTGATTAAATCATTTAAAACAAGAAGCTTATTTCATGTTAACAAATATTTATGAAAAATAATTATATTTTCAAGATAATTTAGAAGAGTGACATGCTTTACATTTTTGTGAATCTCTTTCATGTCTGGCTTAGAAGTCAGATAAATTTTATCTGCTTCCTCATTCAATATGTTTTTTAGGTTGAAGTATTTTAATAAAATTGAGCCTCACCAGCTAAGTAGTTGGAAAAGTGTAGGAGTATATAATAGTCTTTTCAAATAATGGTGAATATTCTTCCTTACTGTATGCCAACAAGTGATAAATTTCCTTAAAGAGTAGTTGCAGTGTGACACTCCGTTCCTAGCAGACCTACTGGATATATAGACCAGTGGATATATGTATACACTTTGGCGGTTGGAGGGGATGCTGCAGGATTTAAACACACCACCTCCTGTTCCTCTGGTCTCCCCTAATCCTATGTTCCTTGTCTGATCTTGTTCCCAGCCCTAGACCCAGGGCTCCACTCAGTTTACGTACCTCCAGTGGGTGAGGAGATCCTTTATTTTTCCCCCTCTCTCTGCCCTGCTAACCCCCTTCTCAGGTCTGTCAAGATGGGCGGCTTTGCTGTCCGACAGCCTTCTCCCTGTCGATTATGGCAGCTCCCTCCCATTGCCGCTCTGACCAAAAACCTAGGTGCGCTCTTTCTTGTCTGCTTCTCTTCTCTCACACACTGAATCTGGCAGCAGATCCTATCGGTTTAACCTTCAGAATATACCCAGAATTCGACCACTTCTCATCGTCCCCATCACCTCTCACTGAATTGTTTCAACAGCTTCCCGCTGGATCTCCCTTCTTTTGCTTTAACATCCTACAGGCTGTTCTCAGTACTTTTAAAGGCAGAGTGAGCCTTTTTAAAAAAAGATATTCTCTATCTCTCCTCTGCTCACAACCCTCGTGATACCTGGTCCCATCCAGAGCAGAATCTAAGGTCCTTATCTCCCATGACCTGTGAGACTGTATTATCAGGGCCCTGTTAACTTCCTGCCTCACTTCACTCATTTTCAGGAGAAAGTCTCACAAATACCCAAGTCTGAATAATCATAGTTTGCCTGCCTGACAGTGGTTTATTCAAGTACAAAAGTATTTCACAGAGAAAGCTCTACTTCTCCCAACTCAGACAGTGCAGAAGGCTCTAGTATTATGAAAATAATTTTGATGTCATGGGTCCCTTGAAAGGGTCTCAAAGTCCCTCGAGGTGTCCACACCATTGAGAATTTCTGTTCTACTCCAGTTCTTCATTTTGCAGATGATGAGCTCTGAAACTCAAGAGTAGTTGTTAGTAACAGAACCAGAGTGGGAATCCAAGTATTGTAACTCCTCATACAACACTCCTAGTTCTCAGGACATCCAACTCTGGACAAGAAATATTTGCCTACCCCCAAAACAAAACTGTTTTAAACACACTGTAAAATATGTATACAAAAAAACCCATTCTAAGTTCATTTTGGAAAAGTTAAAAGTATACACCTGTCTGAGCTTTCTGTATACTTGTAATGGTTAGAAAAGGTTAAAGGCAGGATTACCTAAAAAAGAGCAAACCTGTAGTTTTCAAAAATAGTATATTCATATGAACCATTGAAAAAACATTTGAATGATTTATTCTTTGTGTTTGGTTTTCTTAACAGCTAATAAAAATAGGTTCTGATGTGGAATTGTTACTCAGAACATCTGTTATACAAGGTATTCACACAGATCACAATACACTGAGTAAGTAAAGTTAAAGAGAACTGTTTTCTGATTGCAGTGTGTTTTAAAATATTGAGCGATTAATGGTGCTTTTAATGCTGATCAGTAAAACAGCTTGATTTTGCCAGACAATCTGGTATATGTATATTGTATACATTTGTAAGGCAATCATTTAAAAATGCTGAATTATGAAACTTTGTCTTATCATATTTTATTTTTTTCTTTTTTAACTTTTAAATCTCAACTACTGGTTATATTTATAAAACTATAGTTACAAAGACAGTGTAGCTACTTTTATTATATTTATTTAAGGTTATTAATATTTCTAGTATCATCACCTCCCTAAACTGTTTCTTTACTTTTTATTCTGTGATTAGAGTTATTTTAATTCATAAAAATTGGGATTATAGAAAATAAAAATAGAGTAGAGGATCCTTCATTATACCTCAAGACTCCCAGTGGGGCTTCAGCAGAATCTCATTTCATATTATATTCTGTTTTTATTCCCTAAAGTTTCTTTGAGGACAACAGTAACAACAAAAAGATGACCTTAACAATTTTGAAAGGCTTTTTTTCCCTTTAAAGTAAATGATTGAAGTATAACATGCAAACAGAAAAGTGTCCAGTTTGTAATTGTATAATCAGTGAATTTTCATAAAGTGAAATATTTGTGTAACCAACATCTACGTCAAGCTCTGTGATATAATACTACCAGTTCCCCAGACGCCCCTCCTGGCCCTGTGTCCCTGCCACACACTCCCTCCCCACGAGTATAACCACTGTTCTCACTTCTAACACTGTCACTTTTTAACTTAATAAAGTGTTTTAACTTTACACGAATGGCATCATACAGCATTACTGTTTTGTCTGGCATCTTTCTCTCTACATTTGTGAAAATCATCTATATTTGTGGTGAATAGCAACATTTCCATGAATACTGTTTGAGTATACCAAAGTTCATTCATTCTACTATTGTTCTTTTGGGTTGTTCCTAACTTGGGACTATAATAACTAATGATTCTGTGAATATTCTTCTATGTGACTTTTGGTTTAAAAAATACATGTACATGTATATCTACATACACATATACATATATAATGCATTTTCTTGGGTATACGTATAAAGCAGTGAATTTTCCAGGTCAAGGGATTGTGTGTTTATTGAGCTTTAAGAAGATAACTCCTAACCAGTTCTCCAAAATGGTTATACTAGTTCACACGCCCATCAGTGGTGTCTGAGAGCTCCGGTTGCTTTACATCCCCACCAACACTTGGTACTGCGTGTCTCTTTAATTTTAGTCTTTTTGGTGGTTGTCTAATGGTACCACATTGTGACCTTAATTTGCATTTCTCTAGTAACTAATGAAGTATTAACACCTTTTTTAGTTGTTTAATGGCCAGGTATTTTATGAAATAGCTGTTCAAGCCTTTGGCCCATTTTTCTTAGCAATTATCTACCTTTTACTATTGATTTCAAAGAATTCTTTACATGTTCTGAATATACATTCATTGTTGGATGTATGAATGACAAGAATCTTCTACTTCGTGGCTTCCTTTTTCATTTCTATCTTTGATGAGAAGTTCTTAATTTTAATGTAGTCCAGTTTACCTATTTTTTCTCCTCTGTGTTTAGTATAGGTAGTCTCCAACAGTGCCAATACGTTTTGCTACTTTAAGTGAAGTGACATATAGTGAAACCAGTTTTTCTGAGGCTAATTGATGTAAACAAGAGTTAAGCTCCTAAGGCATCTCATCACTGTGACGTTGATATGAGATTGAAGAAAATGGCATTATTTCAGGACCTGTTGTACTTTTGAGCCCTGTTTAAGAGGTATTAAAGCAAGGTCATGAAGAGATTTTCCTGTGCTTTCTTCCAAAAGCTTTATTGTTTGATCTTCCTACTTGGTTGTTTCTATCAACTACAGTTGACTTTTATATGTGATGTGAGATAGAGGTCAAGTTTACTGCTTACATGTAAATGGTCAGTTGACCCAGCGTTCATTGAAAACAGCACTCTCCCTGCTGTAGCGCAGGGCCACCTTTGCCTAAAGCTAATAACCACGCATGTGTTTACATCTGTTTCTGGACTTTATAATCTCTTCAGTTAATTCATTTTTCTGTTCTTCTACCACATACCATAATGCCTTATAATAAATCATGATACCTAGTGATGTAAGTCCTATAGGGTTTTTCAGGTTATTTTGAGTTTATGAGGATTTATCAGAAATTATTAGATCTGAGTTATATTTATAAGTGCAGTAAACATAGTTAATCCTAAATTAAAACTTTGTAGTCATTAGCTTTAATTATCTTCCTTAGAGCTCTGTATTGTGTAGCCAGCATTTTAAACAGGTGATCACAAGTAAATGTTATTTTATGTAAATAAAAATTTAAGTTATTTTAAATAATTAAATTTGATACCTGTATTTCAAATACTTGGTTTTAGATAGGACAGTATTGGTTTACATTTCTTTTTATTTTTTGGTTTTTCTCCATAATTTAATTTTCACACAGGATGGAAAATTTAGATTCTTTTGTGTATTAGTATATAATGCTATATGGCTTTAATAATGGCCTTATTCTTTCTACTAAGATATAAATGGGCTCTGGCTGGTGTGGCTCAGTGGACTGAGTGCCAGCCTTCAAACCAAAGGGTCACTGTTTGAATTCCCAGTCAGGGTCATGGCGTCTGTTTTCATTCTTCCGCGTGTGGTTGTTCAGTTTTCTAAAGTATTTATTGAAGAGACTATCATTTCCCAAGTGTCTATTTTTGGCTCCTTTATCATGTATTAATTGACCATATATACAGATTTATTGTGAGGCCCTCCTTTCTGCTCCATTGATCAGTGTGTCTGTTTTATACTGTTCTGGTTGATACAGCTTTGTAGAATAGTTTTAAATGAAGAAGTGTGATGTCTCTGGCTTTGTTCTTCTTTCTTAAGGTTGCTTTGGTTATTTGGGGTCTTTTGTTGTTCCATACAAATTTTTAGATTGTCCTATTTCTATTAAAAATGCTATCAAGATTTTGATAGGGGTTACATTGGATTTATAGCTTGCTTTGGATAGTATTGACCTTTTAACAATATTAATTCTTGCATTCCATGAGTACTGACTATCTTTTAACTCATTTGTATCATCTTCAGTTTCTTTTATTAATGTCTTAGAGCTTTCAGCGTACCAGTCTTTCACCTCCTTGGTTAAATTTATTCCTAGGTGTTTTATTCTTTTTGACAAAGTTGTAAATGAGATTATTGTCTTAATTTCTCTAGTTGGTTATCATTAGTGTGTAGCAATGCAATTGATTTCTGTATATAGATTTTTTTTACCCTGTGACTTTTGTAACTACCAGTTTGTTCTTAATCCCTTCACCTTTCTTCACCCAGTCCCCTAACCCCTTCTTCTGAGGCAGCCATCAGTTTGCTCACTATATTCATGAGGAGTCTCTTTCTGTTTTGCCTGTTCATTTATTTTATTCTTTATATTTCACAGTTAGTGAAATCGTATGGTGTTTTTCTTTCTCTGAATGACTTATTTCACTTAGCATAATACCCTGTAGGTCCATCCATGCTTTCTCAAATGGTAAGGTTTTTTTTTCTTTTCTATGGCCGAGTAAGAAATTACTTTTTAAGAATACATTTAATATGGCCATAACGTTTTCTAGGGGCTTAAAGTATAGGAAATAAACCATGATCTTAGTGTAGTGCTCTATCAAGATCTGGCAACTTAGTAAACTAATATTGTTATGGTACTTTGATATATAATATATAGAGCAGAGCCGTGGTTTTATAATCTATAAAACAAACTTACAGTGAAAAATAATATATTCCATGTAAATTTAACTGATATGTTTGGCCTAATTAAAATGTTAGCAATCAATGAATGTAGAAAAATTCAATCTTAGGGTATCTTTTGATTCCAAAGATTACCTAATAAGGTGAATTTTATAAAGGGATGGAGTAGTGAAATTTGACAGGTTTTTTTTTTATTGTTTACCACTCTTTGAATGTCCTTGCTTTATTTCCCAAGATAGAATCTAGAAAATTCACTTCCTCAGTTTCCTGTGCAGCTCAAGCATGGGCAGTGTACAGGTACAACACTCTCACCCATATCCAGAAATGCACTTGAGAAAGGGGGCTTAGCACAGAATCTGTTTTGCTGGCAGGAATAGCATCAATGGTTCCAGAGTCCAGTGACTGATACAACGTGGCCCTGGTGTGGTGGCAGGAGCAGATGTCAAAAGGAGCATCTGAAATGTAGCATCTTATGCTCCATGGGGGTAGAAATGGTGCCAGTTTCTTCTAGTGCCCCCAGTCAGCAGCGGTTTTTATCATCAGTCCAGTGCTGTGGCGTGGCCTTGGACATGGTGCCTAGAAAGAAGCTCCGCTGCAAGCCTGCCCAATTTGGAAGCTCTTACCACAATTTCACGTGTTAGACCAAATACTCATTAACGAATGCATCATCAGCCAGAGTCAGCTTCTGTTACTTTTAAATAAGAACAATAGAAGTTTGTTACCACAGGTGGGGTACTGAAAATTGCACAGCCTAAAATATTAATGTAGTTGAATTAAAGGCAGAGATCGGGGATGCAGTATGATTATCATGAGCCTGACCATTACAAGCTTTAAGCTGGTGGCTCTTGTCATGCAGTGGTGAAATGTAAGGTAGGTGCCTCCCACTGTTTCGTGGAACACAGACCAAGTTCTGGCTGAGATTACTGCAGCAGGGGAAATAATCAAAATGTCAGTGTGGGCCGATTATTTCTTCCTGCTTTCAGCAAAACATTGAAAAAGAGGATGAAGGCAGATTAAGCTAGTTGGTCTGCAAAGCAAAGATAGAAGGAAGTACTCCTTTGCCAAGCGGAACTCTTCTGTCCACATTCTGAAGTCTGACTGATTCAGACTCCTATAATTTATAGCAGTGATTTTCAACTGCTGTGCAGCAAGAATTTTTTAAACATGCAAAACTTGACTCTGTAGCCAGGGACACTGAGCTCTTTTTTCTCTTAGATTGTCAAATAAAAAACTGACAACAGCCAACACAACCGCAGCTGTCCAGTGTGAATGAATCAGAATTATACCTATACTTTTTGTCAGATTGGCAAAAAATATATTTTTTGTTGTGCTACAGACTTTTAGTAATTAGTTTATGTGTTCCATGAAATGAAAAAGGTTGAAAATCCCTGATTTAGGTAGAACTTTGCAGGGCTGAAAATGTCAATTGTTCCTATCCACTAAAACTAAGACAATCTACTCAGAACAATAAGGGGGCTTCTGAGCTCAAACATGAAATAAGATCGATGCCCCAGGCCCTCTCGTTTGCCACACAAAGATCAGACATGGGACGTATCTACTAGCTTGAGCCTATAATTTTTCACTGCCTCAAGTGTCCATTAAATTGACTGTAGGAGCAAGGGGTGGGCCAGGAGGAGAAGGGCAAAGAGGGAAAGACTGGGACAACTGTAACAGTAAAAAGTATAACAGTAAAAAGAAGGAGAAGGAAAGAAGTGTCCATTAGCTCTGGCTGCATAGCGTGGTGAGTTAGAGTGTCGTCCTGATACGCCAAGGTTGCAGGTTCAGCCTTTGATCAGGGCCCATACAAGAATCAACCGATGAATACATTAATAAGTGGCACAACAGATCTCTGTCTCTCTTACTCTCTTTCTTTCAAATCAATTTAAAAAAAAAAAAAAGAAGTACCCATTAGCTAAGGGTTAGGGGACGTGCAGAACAGAGGCCATTATCAGAGGATGAACATCTTCATGCTTAGAAAGCATGTGTCAACATGTTTGCCTCTGGCTATTTGTACATGATAATGACTGAGAAAAGACATATTTGAAGCTTATAACATTTTTGAATGAATTGTATTGCCAAGAAACCCCAAGCGGGACTATTGCCCTTCAACTCTCAAGGCCGGCCCT